AGTGGAACAGTTCGACTGTCTTTTCAAAAAGGCCAACACAGGGCAGTGCGTAGAAAATGTGAGCAGAGGTTTGAAGGATGCACCCAGAGAGCCGCTTCATAGCAAAAGTCAGGACAAACAATAAACACCAGTGCGCTGTAGTTAAGACTGAGAATAGCATGCAGAGGATGAAAACACCGTGAGCTGTCTTGGGCAGCCTGCAAGAGGAAGCAAGACAAGATACATGTGTAACAGCCAATAACCACCCAGTTTCACAGCTGGTGCCATGCAAGAGTAAAGAACTCCTGGAGCATGTAACTATGGAGGGCAACAGGGAATTAAGATGTTGTGACACCCACTTGGCTTCAGCTCCCTTCCCTAGTCACACCTTGCCTGCACCTGAGTAAGACAGAGTTTCCTCCACTATCCCTCTTGGATGTTTAACAGCCTTTTCCAACCTGGTGCCCTCCAGATGTTTTGGATGACTACTCCCAAAACTCCCACAGGCAATGGTTGAGGATTCTGGGAGCTGCAGTCCAACAGATCTGAATGGTGCCAGGCTGGCAAAAGCTCTTCTCAATTTGACTGATTCAGCAAGGCACTTCTGCTGCTTCCTCTGTAAACACATACCAAGCCTCAGCCCCATTCCAAGGTGGATTTCTTCCAGCTGTTTTCAGGGTAGGAATCCAGCCAAAATCTGCTTCCTTCCACCAAAGAGTTCAGGGGCATTTACAGTAGGTTATTCATTTTCTCACGGTCAGTCCCTGCAAGGAAGATTAAACTGCAGGACAGCAAGTTTTCCATAGTTCCCCTATTTACAATTGAGCCTATGTCTCACATTCCTGAAGAACAGCTCAACTAACTGACCCATTTACAAGAGTTATATATCATTCTGTATCCAATTAAATATCCAAGTGGTGAACAATAAAAGGGGAGAAATAATAATAAGTAACAACAACAGAAAATTAAAACCTTAAAAATCCATTTGTGGCAATAAAACCACAGCTGATGAGTCATGGAAGACTTGCTTATATACAAATGTGTGCAGGAAGCACAGTAAATTAATATAAACAGGCAGGAAGTTCCATAAAGAAGGACCCAGCCCACTAAAGACTTTACTCCAGGTCAGTTCCAAACAGAGTACAGGCCCATAAGAAGCCACCAAGAGTGCCTAAGCTGATGAATGCAGTGACCAAGCAGGCTGACAAAGGGAAAAGGCATTTTTCCAAATATCCTGGTCCCAAGTTTAGGGTTTTATACATCACTACAAAATGAAACATCCTTCTCAAGAAGTATGCCTTAGAATCACAGAATTCAGCTGCCACTGGGCCCATTGCTATCAGATGGTGAGGAACTCCAGGCAATACAAAGTTCTGAAACTTTTTCACAAGCCTGGTTTCATGGCTAGCTCTTTGAGCCTGACAACGTCCTAGCCTGTTTTTCATTTCACAAGTTTCCCCCCTTGAAGGTGATCCAGGCAGATGAACAATATAAAACCAGTGGAACAATCCCCGGGAACCTTCCCTGCAAAATGCAGTGTGATAAATGTGTTTTGTTATGCCAAGGAAATGCCTGCAAGGGGGGGTTGCAAGTCGAACTGCACAGAGCAGAAGCAAATGCAGCTGCACGTGCAACCTGATGCAGTCTACTGAGAAGAAGGCCCCACTGAATTAAATGAGGTTTCCCCCAGTGTAAGCATGCATAGGATTGCTGCCTAAATGTCTAAACCAGAAAAAAGTAAGGGGCAATCACTCGCATGCTACATTAGGACCCTACTGCAAGAGAACTGTGGCTCTGATCCTAAAGCAACTAATTCACCAGCTTTCTACAGTCATGAGACAATAAACATTCCTCTTCCTGCACTCTGTAATTAGATCCTCCTTCAGATGGGAAAAGGTATTATTACACTGTGTTTATACCCCACCTGTTTTCCTTTTGCAAGGAATCAAAGGTGGCTTACATGGTCATCCTCCACTCCGTTTCATCCTTACAACAACCACCCTGTGAGGCGGGTTAGGCTGAGAGTGAATGACTGGCCCAAAGTCACCCAGTTGGCTCCATGGCTGAATGGGGACCACATCTCCAAAGTCACCACTCCACATTCTAATCACCATACCACACTAGCTGCCAGTATTTTTGCTATTCCATAAGGCAGTAATTGGAATTCAGAAGATGACTATGATCATCGCCTTTCTTAAAGCAGCATCAGACTGGAGTCTACTTTTGAGAGTTTGTGCACCTATTTTTGCCAACTCAAAAGTAAGATTCACTGATAGCCAGTTGCAACTTTAAAAAAAACCTAGACACCATATCTACTCTCCCAACACTGAAATGTAAGCAGGATGATTTAGGAGGGCATAGATATCGCCCTTGAATGAATCTGAGCTGGAATATCCGGTTTCAAGGTCTTAGGAGACCACCAATATTCCATGCGGTGGATGGCAACTGACTTGGAAAATGCTGACAATAGATTATGTGGGCTTGACATGAGTCCAGCAACTGAATCCAAACACTGTCATGTGTTTTGTCAGGGGAAAAGAAAGCCACTCTAATGGAAGAGTTTAGATTTCTCATGTAATTGCTAGCACTCTTTCTTTGGCAAGGCTTTCATTATCAGCTACCTGAACTATTTCAATGTAATCCTGTTCTCTCCTTTCGGTTTGGCTCTGCTCCTCATTATCAGCATAAACAAAACTTTTATGGCACCCAAAGCAGCATGCATCATCTGTGCAATCCTTTCAAGGGTCTTGTAAGGCAAAGCACCATGAACTCTGCATGACTGCACAGCTTGCCAGAACCCACAGAGTGAGTGCATGGCAAAGGGGAGAAGTTTTCACTGGAGACTTCGCAGCACAGAACAAAAGCACAAGAATCAGCTTCATAACAGGTTAGAAATCTAGTCCAACTAGCCCAAGATTATATGGTTCTAGGAGTAAACAACTTTTTGGGACCCATGAGCACATTTGGAAATTTGACAGCCTGTTCTAGGAGCAACTATAAAATGGCTGCCATGGGTACCCATAGCAATGAGCATGCAGTGAGGTACCTGCACATACACTGCTGCCCACACCAGGTTGCCTACCCTGATGTATACTGACTGGCAGCAGGTTCTCCTGGATCTCAAGCAGGAAATTGTTTTCATCACCTGCTATCAAGTCTGTCTCTTATTTTTTAACTGGAATTGCAAGGAATTGAACTTGGGGCCTTCTGACTGCAAGGCAAAATACTCAGCCACTGAATTCTGGTCTTTCAACAATTTTAGGCACTACCCTCCACCAATTCTAAATTGCACAGCCTTATAAATAAGCTCACAAAAGTTATTAGCCTCCAAAAAGAAATTAATATTCTGCCAGGGCTGGCAAAGGAAGGCCCAAAGGCTTGGACAAACAGGAAAGTGTTGGCAGCGGACTTACAGCATTCCTATCCCTACTCTGGAAATGTACACAATCATCTCTGTGGAATTCTATGTACTCACCTACATAATATTCCAGTTATCTGCAGATGTTTCCACAAGCCTTCATTTGCAATAGCACAAGAAAGCACTGTATCTCCAAACATAATTTCTTAATTTGGGTTCACTTAAAACTTAATCTGCTCTGTTTTAATACAGCGCTAGATGAAGCTGCTTCTTCGTTCTTCAGCCCCAATTATAAGCACAAATTATTTGTCAAGTATTTCCCCTTAAATAATATTCTGGCTCTAGTACGGCACAGATGTGGAGAGAATGCAATCCTTAGAAAAGCAAGAGACAGAATTTCACAAAAAGAGAGATACAGGCTCTAAAGACAGGGATGCCCTGTATAAATAATATATGGGTTTCATTATGTCTTTCCAGTATTTCTAATGCCACTTTCCAGGTCAAAGCCTTCCCAAAGCAGCTCAAATTCCTAACTAGAAACATAGAAATAAATTTATCTAAGTACAATTACACAACTGTAACAGAGCCTCAAAATGTGATAAACCAAGTACAGAGACTCCTATAATGCTGAAACATAACTTCATAGCTATTATTTGGTGTTCCTGCTAGGATGTTATGTTAATATCGATATTGTTCTTTTGACTGTCTAAATTGTGTTTGTGTTATTTATCAGATTTATGCTGTTGGTTTTTTTTTATTATGTAAACCATCAAGAGACCCACGTGGCTATGAGAAGGTTTATAAAAGCGCTAAATAAATAACTGTTCAGACATTTAAAGGATGAATGTGCAGCGCAACATCTTAAGTAAAAGCAGAGCGAAAGAAAAATCTAATAAGAACAAAGGCCTCCGAGGGGGTGATCCTTTAAATTTGGGGCCACCATTGAGCAGTCCCTAACCCTACAGCCATCATCCTAAGAGAAGTAGGCCTTTTTGGCATGAAGGCCCTTCAGGCTTCCCCTTCAAAGGAAACCATCTGCGAGATGCATTTTTAATAATCCAGTAATTACAGGATTCTGCAGGGCAGCGATGTTAAACAAACTAACAGTTCCGCGGAAGATAGCGGAAAAAACCAGGCACCTTCTGAATTTTTGCCAGACTCTACACTCTGTGCCAGAGCAGGTTTTTGGAAATGAATGACAGCTGCCACAAAGAAAGAAGGCTGGGCTGCGCAGCCTCGCTCCCCGGCCGAACTGAATCCCTCGGATCTCAGGGGGAGGGAAAGGCGGCTCGCTAGAGGAGCACCATTGTCCGCTCGCCCAAACCTTCGCAGAGCCCCCTCCTCTTCCCTCCAGAAACCAAACCGCCAGCGCCGAGCGGGAGAGGGCGAGCGGCGGCGCACGCCCTCCTCCGCGTAAGAGGCCGCTGAATCATGCAAGGAAGGTCAGCAGCTGACGGCGGCAAAGGGCTCCGCACCAACGACGCGCCCGCAAGCCAAACCTTTGGCACCGGCGCGGGGAGCGGCAGAGGGCGGCGGGGAGCGGCGGGGCCGGGAGAGACGCCCTTTCTGCGCCGGCCCTGGGAGCGCGGCGCTGCCCCCCCCCCGGCGCTGCCCCCCCGCCCCCGGCGCTGCCCCGTGCGCGCTGCGCACATGCCCGGCTCACCTCCAGCGTCTTCATCAGCACCTTGAGGTACAGCTCCGAGATACCCAAGGAGACGCCGAAGACGGACGGCAGCACGATCAGCAGCAACGCCATCGAGAACCAGAGGCTCAGCACCTGCAGCGCCAGGGCCAGCAGCTCTTCCATGCTGGCGCAGGGGCCGGAGCGGCGCGCCGGAGCGCCGCGCGACGCGTCTCGGCAGCGCTGGCGGCGGCGGCGGCGGCGGCGGCTCCGGCTCTCCTCCCGGGGCAGGGGAAAGCGCCTCCGCGCTCGCTCGCCGGCAGCTGCGGCCGCGGGCTCGCTGTGTGCTGGGCGCGCTCGGACGCAGCCTCTTTCTTGCCCTCCTTTCTTCGCCTGCCGCTCCACCCCGTTAACTCCTTGTGTCCCACAGGCGCATCCTGTGCAGGCGAGGGCGCTGCCGCAGCTCCTGTCTCCGCCCGGCTGGCCGCTCGCTCGCTCGCTCCCGGCCCGCCCGGGCGGAGGCGGCGGTTTCCCGCAGGCGCGCAGCGGCTTCTCCTCCCCGCCGGGCGCGGGGGGGGCGGGTCCCCTTACAAAGGCTCCTCTGGGCGCGCCGATGAAGCGCGTCTGCTCGCCGCTTGCATTATTCGCTCAGGACGGCATTGTGATCTCCCGCTGTACGCGTCTAGACCCAGTCTTCATCGCCCCCGGTCCGCCAGATGTGCTGGGACTGCAGCTCCCGGCATGCCTCGCTGGCTGCTGCAAGCTGGGCATTGTAGTCCTAAGACATCTGGGGGGCGTCAGGTTGGAAGAGCTGGCTGGCCCAAGACATTCTACTGCCTACGACGGAGGACAAGATGAGACTTTTTCTAAGGGGCATGTGTTGATGCTAGCAATGGGCCGCATCCTGTACTACCGCTGAAGGCACCACCCTTGCAGGTTAGGGCTTCTGCTGTGCTACTCTCTCCAACACCCCTAACTGGGTCTGTGTTTCTGGTGCCCAGTCACATTTGTCTGCCTGGCTCTTTGGCCACTGTCTTGCCTTTGCTCCCATTTTCCTGGGTCCTTTCAAATGACAGGGAATGAACAACACAACAGTAGAAGAGTTGGTAGGATGTTGTTACAGCTTGGCTCCAGGTGAGAGGTCCACAGTTTCTGCGAAATGAAATGAGACCAAAGAATCACAAATCATATTTATGTAGTGTATGTTCTGTACTCCTACTGCAAAGCAAAATTTATGGTAACTGAATCAGACATCATTAGGAACATAAATCTCCCCTACCTTGCAAATACTATGTTAAGAAAGCTGTTGTAAGTATATCAAAAGAGAGCTGCTGAAAACAAGGTCTGATAAGTTGTCACAGAGTAAAAATAAAAACACTGTAAAATAATAGTGCAATTCGGTGTGTGTTTATTCAGAAGTAAGACCCAGTGTATCCAATGTAACAGTAAATGTGTTTAGGTTTGTGGCCCAAGAGTACAACCCACATACATTAACTCTAAATTTAACCCTTGTGCCAGAGGATTGGAAAATGGCCAATGTAACACCAATTTTTAAAATGGGGTTTGGGAGGAATTTGAGAAATTAAAGGCCAGTTAGTTTAACATCTGTTCTGGGTAAACCATTTGAAAGCATTATTAGAGACAGAATCAAGTAAGCACACAGAGGGACAAGCCCTGCAGGGGAAAAAAATCAGCATGGCTTCCAAAAGGGAATGCTTTGCCCCACTAACCTTGGGAGTGTCAGGAAGCACATGGATGGGGCAATCTAGTAGACATTGCTTACTTGAACTTCCAAGTTCAAGCTTTTGACAAAGTCCCTCACTCAAGGCTCCTGAGCAAACTAAGCAGACATGGAATAAAGGGGGGGGGGTCCTCTTATAAACAGAAGACAGAGTTGGAATAAACAGCAATTTTCCAATGGAGAAATGTCGCCAGTGGAGTCCCACAGATTTCTCTAATGGGACCAATGCTTTTCAACTTATAAATGGCCTGGAAGTGGGTGGAGCACTGGACAGGTTTCCTAATGACACTAAGTGTTTTAGAGCAGTTAACACCAAAAGGGGTTGTGAGGAGTCCCAGAGGGATCCCTCCAAGCTGGGAGAAAGCACATCGAAATGGCAAAGGCAGTCCGTATAAGCAAGTGTAGAGTGATGTATGTAGAGGCAAAAGATTCCATTTTCACGTATCTGCTGATGGGATCTGAGCTAGCAGTGACTAAGCATGAAAAGGAACTTGGGGTAGTGGTTAGGGCTGATCTTGGGCTTCATGAAAATGTCAGCCCAGTGCTCAGCTTCTGGGAAGGAGGCAAAATCCAAACTAGGCATAATTAGGAATAGAACTGCCAAAAATGTACTTCCCCATTAAAAAAAAAAAAAAAAAACTTTGGTGCAACCACACTTGGAATGTTGTGTTCGGTTCTGGTCACCTTACCTGAAAACGGACATTACTGAGTTTGAAAAAGTACAGAGAAGAGCAACAAAAATGATCAGGGGACTGAAGCAGCTCCCCTATGAGAAGCAGCAACAACTGGGACTGTTCAGCTTAGGAGAAAGGGGAGACATAACAGAGGTATTTAATGCACAGTGTAGAGAATGTAAAGGGGGAGACATGCTCCTCCCTCTCGCACAACCGTCGAACCCAGGGCCATCCCATTAAGCTGACTGGTGGGAGACTTGGATGAAGGAAGCAGCTTTTCACACAGCATGTAGTTAAACTATGGAATTCAGTGCCACAGGAAGTGGTGATGGCCACCAGTTTGGATGGCTTGAAAAGGGGACTGGACAGATTCATGAGGGAAGAGGCTACCAATGGCTACTAGCCTTGCTGGCTGTGTGCTACTTCCTTGACTTGCATACCCCAGTTGCTGGGGAGCCCAGACAGGAGGCCTTGCACCCACCCAGCCTGAGGAATCCCGTGGGCAGCTGGTTTGCCACTGTGTGTATGGAGTGCTGCACTAGATAGACCTTTGGCCTGATTGAGCATGGCGTACATTGTCATGGTCATGTCTACTCAGAAGTAAGTCCCACTGAGTTCAGCGGGCCTTACAGTGCAAGTAAGGAGGTAAGATTACATACAGAATAATCTATTTATTAGATTCCACACTGGAGACATTCAAGAGACAGACATCCAAGACCGCCATCTGTTCAAGATGCTTTAACCTGAGCAGGAGGCTGGACCTGATGCCCTTACGGGCCCCTTGCAACTCTACTGTGATTCTGTGAATGCAACCACAATAACATCCACACTTGTAGAAGATAAAAGGAAAGCTTGCCTGAGCAGGACAGGCTTTGCCTGACTCCTTAAAAGAAGTCGTTCAGTAACTTTCCCACAGCAGGGAGCTTCTCCAATCGGATGCAGCCTGGGAGGTCTGGAACACCCGAAGAAGGGCTTCCTGTGTGAGCTCAGCTGCCAGGCAGGTCTATACAAAGCCAATTTCTCCTTACTCATTCAGTATCAGTGGGGCTTTATAACTTCCAGATAAGGGAAAGAAAACAAACAAACCCCTGTGGTTTTTGTGCGTGCCTTTTGAAAGCAGACCAAATCCAGGGAGGAGCCGTTGCATCACTGATGGCATCACAAACAATCTCAAACAGGAGCGCATGACAGTCATGCAAGCACATTCTGCACAGCATTCCCAGCAGCAAGAAGTCAGCCACCCTGGAAAGGGGCCATAGCTGGGTGCTGGAACACATGCCGTCCAAAAAGTCACAGGTTCAGTTTCTGGCATTCCTGATTCAACACCTCAGGTACATTTCTGGAAGCATTTTGAAAACAAAAGAGTTTTCTTAATATGCTTGACTTTAAAGAAGCCCAATTTAAGATGAACTAGCAATGGTATTTAAGTACAGAAGGTTGAGTTACATGTGTATTGAGAAGTAATTTCCATTTGTTCAACTCGACTGGCTCCCATGTAAGTGAGAGCCAGTGGGCTATGGTATTTATAGGGCTGGTCTGGGGACTCTGGAGGTCCGGCTTCGTCCCCTCTTGGCCATGAAGCTCACTGGTGACTTGGGGCAAGTCACTCAAAGACTAGCCTAGCTCACAGGATAATTTCCAAATGAATCAGTATGTGGATATCTGGGGGCTTTTGTTGAAGTATAGCTGTAATTATTTTAAATAATGGTACTATGTTCTGCTAGATACAGTGATATGAGCTACATATGTAACTATGTGTCTTGTTGGATTTCATTCAAAAATTGCAGTTTCTTAATTCTATTCTCTAATAGTGCAGTTTGGTTGTTTTTGCAATAGAAAGCCAGTGTGGTGGGGTGATTACTGTTGGGCTGGGGACACACTGACACCTTTCTCTTCAGTGGGGGAAATTTCTTGAACATCATCTTATGGCTGTTTGTACCATAGGGCTGTAGTGTAGCTTCATTCTTTTTTCTTAAGGGTTTTTTTTTTATTAAAACATTTTTATGCCGCCCCATTCGCCAAAGCCTCGGGGCAGCTCACATCAATAAATTAAAATAATTATAATATAAATTAAAATATAAATATAAAATTAAAATACAACAGTACAGTATAAAATAAGCCGCCCTGGCCAGATAAAACCAATAATGTTAACAGTTAAAATGCCGGTTTTTGGTTTGAGGATTATTGTGGTTGTTACAAGCAGCAGCAGCATCCTTCACCGTGCCCCACACCTAGTATTCTGGGGCACTGTGGAATGGGGGGGAAGGGAAGGGAAGGGAAGGTGGCCATCCCACTCCTCCTCCCAAATAGGATAGTTTGGAGACAATTCTGTCAATTGGTCTTTTATCTCTAGAGAGGTTTTTAAAGAGATCTCAGACCATTTCTTGGAAAAGGGTTTTGTTTTGTTTTGTTGGTTCTGTTCCAGTTGTCACGGGTCAGGATCTTCCAAATGCTAAATTTATGGGGCATGCCTGTGGATACACCTTGTCCCTGATGCAGATGCCCCTAAAGCAGCTACTTTCCTGAAAGCCCTGTGGCAGGTGTGAGTGGGTGGTGGTGTGTCTTGCTGCAGGCAAGAGATGCAGCCACTGCTGTGCCAAATCAGTCCTCCAATTTCCTGAAACTTTTCTCCACCCTTAAAGGAGTCTTCTCATTCTCAAGGCATTATTCTGAATGCATTTTGGTGGTGTTGGTAAGTTTGCCTAACGGCTGCAAGGCAGCTGAGGATGCTGTATGTTTTTCTTTATTTCTGCAATACATCTCCCTATTGCTCTACAGTGAAGCACTGCTCCTGATCTGAAAAAGCTCTGTGGGAAAAAGTATCTCATGATATCTTCCTCTTTGCTTTAACTGAAGTCCAGGAAGCTGAGGAGACAACATGCTGCTGGAGAGATGGTCATACTACAATGAAAGACAG